CCTGTTCAGCTGTCTCGCTTTGGAGATGTTCGTATGGATCCTGCTGCTGTTGGACGCTGCGGGTATTTAATAAACACAGCAGAAAAACTCCTGCAAACTGCTGGAAGCAACAAACTAAACTTCAGCTCCTGTTAACATTTTGAGGTCTCTGCGTGCGCCTCTGCCAACTTAAAGGCAAACTAGTTTGACTCACCGGATGTCTGCTACAGGTTCTTCTTTCACTTCCACTGTCTACATGTTACTGGTTTTGCAATCCCCTTCACTATAGGACGCAGCTGCAGCCTGCTGTGGATTGCTGAGGATCTGGATTGTGCAATAACACAACCCTGCTAGTTGTCTTCAGTGAATTAGCCATTTTAATGACAGTCCTCACCTCCCTGTGTGTGAATGTCCCATCAAAACAATTCCCCCATCACTATTTAGCAGGTCGATTATCGCCACGTGCTCCGCCCAAAACAATCGTGATTGGTTAAAAGCAACACAAACAAGCAGAATGATAATGAAGTGCAGCCAAACCAGTGTGTTGTGCGATGTTCATGGTCGGCCTGTTGTATCAACTGGAACATGAACATGCAGGTTTTAATGAAGGAGCTTCCCCTATCGGACCTGTGCTGCCCCCTCTCCCTCAGAGGCGCCACTGACTTTTTGCAGGTAACTAACATTTCTTTCAACCAACATTGGATAACACTGCCCCCAATACCCAAAATGAATGATATAAAATTGAGATGTGGAACAACAATCCCAAAAGAACACTGAACTTCGCACACATCAATTTTGCTCTTAACACCACTCATCGTCTGATACTTCAGACTGTTTAAAGAGTCCATTTAACAAAAGCCACGTTTGTGTAAACGTATCCTGATGTTGACCCTTAATGCCTTATTGCACAGGCCAACCATTACAATACTGAGCACATTAAAGCTTCCACAGAGATGTGTCAAAATTTCTTCCCGAACCCATTTTTGCCCTAATTAAATTCACTCCAGCAGCCCCGCTCCATTAGAGCATTAACTTCTTTAATTGCCAGAGGACTTATCTCCTGGAAGCAACGTTCACCACCTACTGTTACAAATGGCTCTGTGCTTTTTGAAAATAGAGAAAATTAGACTTAAAGGGGGATCTTCACCCCCCCCCCGTCGCTTTTAAATGTATTCTTTTTTCATTTCATTTAGCCAGATAGGACATAAACTTACTATTCTTAATCTCTTTCATGTGTCATTGGGATAGTTGATGGAGTAACTCATCGGGATATATAAACAGTCTGTTTTGATGCTTTTACAGCGTGATGTTTGCCAACTTTTATTTGGGTAAATACGCGTTCTTACACAGAAAACACGCGACACATTTCTTCAGCTTTTTTCCTCGTAACTGAAAAACTGTTAAACAAATGTGTGCACATACAGTAAGATATGGCTAAATATTTGTGTTCACTGTTGACCAAGTGTTGACTTGGCGACAGGAACTGGTTGTTTGAGGTCTGGAAGAATCTCATTTGCCTTTAAATGGAGGGGCAAAAAGAAGAAGAGTGATGCAGGAAAATCAACAAGTAGAGAATAAAATACACTAAATCTTTGGAGGGGCGGATCAGACGGACTGCGATGGGTAAAATCCACCAAACTGAGGTGGCTTTCACATATTAAAGTCACTGAATATTATAAATGTTTGCTGCAAAAGCTGATTCATTGCATCATAAGTTACAAAGAATTTCTCTCTTCTAATGCTTGACTTCCTGGGAGCCTGTGAAGAAACTGCACTGGGCATGAGAAATGTGATGGCAAATCATCAAACTGGGATTAACAGCAGTATTTTTAACACAGCCTTCAAATGAGGGTTTACAATTACAGCAAAGTGTTTTGGCAGCGGGGGAAAAAAAACAGGCTACGATTGGTCAGCACAACCTCATTGGCAACCTTTGTTAAAACTTTTGCCTTCTCATTCAATTCAAATTCTTCAAATTGCATTCACATCGCAGCCGGATTACAAAAACGCACAAATATCAGCCCCACTTTGAGCTTCTTGACTGTAAAAGGCCTGGCAGAGTGGCCGTCTGGCTGGGAACTAGTGTGGTATTTACACAGAGCAGACACACTGACCTTCTCTCAACTTGATAGAAAGCCTCCGTGACATTCAGCTGAATTGATCAATTTATACATTAAAAAAAAAAAACCAAGCTGTCAGTTGCTCCGCGAAGACAATAAATGATACCTCGCCATTCGGTAAAGAAAGACAGATAGCGGATGCACGAAATGCAGATAGAGTGACGGGAAAATGGAGTCTGAAGGGAGATTAAAGGGGGTGAGAAGGTGGAGTGGAGGATGCATGTGAGGCCGGTCATAAGGTTTAGCCTGTTGATCACAGTTGCAGTCAGAGGAGCCCCGGGGAGCAGCTGACCTTTGGGTGTGAGTGTGTGTGGGAACGCACTGAAACTGTTTACTGAAAACTAAAGAGTACACCTGACTTAACTGACCTTTCTTTTAAGGTCCGTCCAGTGTGAATGCGAGGCAATCGTATCAGGCGAGCAGGACAGACTCTAGGATGTGTCACTGAAAACTTACAAGGTTACTGTAATGTTTACAAGTAACATAATATTCTGTCCACATATGTGAACACGGCGTTAACATATTATCACCTTTTTAAGTCGGTATGGCAAACATGTTAGCCATTTGTTACCTATTTACACATTGAGCATTTAAAGAGGTGTTCATTTAGAGTCGTGTTTCTGGCCCGGCGTCCGACGAGTCAGGAAATTTGTGGCTCTTTTGCCGGTAGATGCTCCGCTTTGTTGGTGAGCTAGCTGGTCACTCAGTCTGGAGCATTTTTTGCTGAAACCTGCGAACAAAACAGCAAGTTTCTTGGGATGAAAGACGATGTGCTGAAATGTGCTAAAATTCCCTTTAAAGCTGAGCTGTGTAATAATTCTTTACGAGCAACTGCTCTCACACGTCACATGCTGATAACACCGCGGTTCACTGCTATTGTGCAGGAACTTTGAATAGCTGAACTGAATAATCTTTTTCTTTCCATGGTGACAAAGTAGTTCTGCAAAAACCTGTGTTGCAGGAATATCAGATCTTCTGCAGGACGCACCGCTCAGCCTGCAAATTAGGAAACACAACAGTAGATAGAATAGACTAAACAAACAGAACAAACAATAGAATGAGTTTATATTCATGTGGATTAAATACATCATCACAGCTAGTAATCCTATTATGTCATCGTAATTTGGCGTGCATAATCTGCTTATTCACTCTGCCAGTTTACACAGTGTACTTCCAGCCATCTTTCACATGTCATGTTGTAAAACTAAGTCAAGTTTGAAATATGTGATATCATAATTGACCCCAAATGTACAAGATTTCAAAAAATAAATAAATAAAATGTCAGCACCACAAACCCAGCTGCACTTGTGCTCACTACTTCCAACACAACACGAACATTTTGGCCGGCTGACGCAGTGTGATCACAATGCGAGTTTGGTACCAAGTTTGTTTTCGAGAGAGCCGAGCAGGCATCATTACAGCACGAGTCCCATGGGAAAAGAGTCAACCAGGCGATCAGACATGCTATTACTGGAAATGTGCCGAGATGTTTCGGAGCGGGTGTTTAGGCTGGAAACACAGGACGAGCATGAGAAAACACAGGCGACTGACAGTTTACGTGTTGGTGAAGCTCTTTATTAAACCTCTCGTCGACAGCGGTTCGCGCAGGAAAGAGCGCAGGAATGTGATGTTCATCCAGAAAGGGAACGCAAGAGAAACATAAAAGAGGGACTTGCAAAGGGAGGCATAATGGCGGAGTGATGCAGAGTGACAGAAGAAGAGAGGCAGAAGGGGAAATCATTATTTTTCCGGTCCAGTCTGTTGGAAGGCTGATAAGAGAGATCAATACCAGCTGAGATGCTCATCAGACTCATGTTTGTGTTGGTCTTCATATGCGCGTGTGATGAGCCTGGAATTAGCTGAAGAAAAATAAAATACAATGGATTTAATATAAAAGCAAATATATACATATAGGATGGACACAAAGACAGACAAAGGAAACAGAGAGATGAATTAGAGCACAGACACATACAATCCGAACAAAAGAGTTAAATTGGGTGCACCCGCTCAAGAGATACAAAGGACTTAACAGCAAAGTGGAAAATAATTTCCCCACAAATCCGCTAATTTGTCAAATTAGATTTCCCTGCTTGGACACAGGCATGCCGGGTCTAAGTATGCTAATGCGGCTTACAGGCTGATTTCCATCGCTTGTTTCGGAGACCCCAGTTCCACCACAGTTAATGAAAACGACACGAGAGGGAAACGCCGTCGATCCTGATGGTGATTGGGTTGTCAGAGGGAAGCGGCGAAGCGGCATGTAAAGAAATACAGGTCATCACCTGAGACAAATCGAGTATCCCTTCTGCGCTTCCCACTTGTCATTATGATTACACCTGGGACATAAGAGGAGTTATTATAGCCAATCGGTTGAGGGGCTTTTCGAAACCCAACTGAATCCATCGGTGCAGCTACGAATCGACGACACCCATTGCACTTGTTGAAATGTAGCCTGTGCTCTCTGTTTCAGCTGCATCTCTTAAGTAATGTTTCAAAGTGTCTGCAGTAATGTCATGCTTCCTGATGCACTCCCTTTTTCGGTTTCACACCCGAACCAAATGGAGCAGTGGCGAGGCTGTTTTGGAACTGGAAGGCAGTGATCCATAATCTACACTCTCTGAGGCCATGGGACTTGCAGAAGGTAATTTCAACTTTGTCCTTATCTAACTTCACACCTGGAAGCATGTGCAGGGCAACACTGCTCCCTCAGACATGGATTGGTTCTGACTGGGAACACCTGACTCACCAAAATCTGTGACAGTGTGAGCAGAGAAAATGGAAGTCAGGCCACGTTTATCCATAAATACTATTCAGCACGCAGCTCTGTTGCAGGTTTTTTATCATTTAATTAAAGACAAAAGTTTAGCCGTTCTTTTTTTTTCTTTACTTATTAGAGGAACTGTGAGAAAAAAAAATTACTTCTACAATTTCAGAATGGTGGTGAATGCTAAAATAACAATGGCACAGAGAGGAGGAAGAAGACTCTCCCCATAGACAGTGATGTGTGTGTAGTGTTTGCCAATATTAGCCACTGTAACATTAGCCACCGCAAGCACTGATCCAACCAGCGCAATAAAGGCTGCAGCTGAAAAAGCCCTGAGTGGATTGAAATGGCCATGGATGCATTTTATTGCTTATGAATTGAACTTCTCGTTTGAGAGAAGAAAAAAAGGAGAGCGGTGATGTTTCGCATTACAAAAGCTCGTTTTAATGCATTCTTCTCTTTCTTCTTCAAACCACATTTATACCTTGAATTAAATTTTTTTTTTTGTGACTGCAAATTCCATTGACTGTGGAAGAGTGCGTGATCAAAAGCTGCAGAGCGGTTTATGAAGAGACCTTGACGTGAGCTCATTGTAAAAATTGAACTTTAAATCTTTTAGCCAACATGATTTATGAGTCTTCAAAGTGGCCAGAAAAAACTTTTCATTCCATTTAAATGAGACAGGTCAACGTAAAACAGTTGAAAGACACTTCAAAGTAAAAGCGTCGCTTGTTTTATTGATTGTGCAATACTTTCTACTGCATTTGTAAGTCTTTCTGGGTGCTATTTGTATTCATCTTGAGTTGTGATTTCTCATTTATGTGTCAATTTTGAAGGTGTTTATACCTTAAGTGTTGATTTAAGCTCTTATTTTATTGTTTTTTGCAGCCTCATCTTGAGTATAAAGGACTTCCATATTGTGATCTCGGACCAACATGTGCTTTTCCAAGAAGCTGCTAACAATACGTAGAGATGTTTTCTATTGTGTCACCTGTCCACCTTATGTGCATGCAGCAACATGCAATCAGAACACAAGAGGTAAACAAATGCAGTGCATAAAGGTATGAGGAAAACTGAGAGAACATTTGTTGATTGTGTTGAATTAAAAAAAACAAGTCATCTACACACAATTTTTGTTATATTTTTTCAGTTTGCAATAACTCCATTGTTCCACACAACAATCCTAAAACATGCAGCGCACAGAATCACAACAACATGCCTTGAACCCTTTTTGAAAATGTGGTAAAAACCTCAACATCACACAGTGGGTCCTCTGGCAGGTTGAAGTGCACTGACTTCCCCCAATGGTGGTGGTTAATACATTTAAATTAATCTTACGGTGAGCATCCAGCCGTGCCCAATATGTCTCTGTCCCTGTCAGCCTCCTGGGAGGAAAATGGAGGTCAGAGCCAAATAGGATAGGGTCCTTGGCAGTGGCTGTAATGGCAAGTGCACTGAGCATTTTTCAACTTTGCTTACGCTGCCTTGAAACTTCGAATATTACATCTCTTCATTTAACTTCTTTGATATAAGGACAGCAATTTGGCAAGGGTACAAAAGAGGACAGAATAAGCAAATACACGTCAAATGTCACATGTCAAAGTTGCCCATCAGGTTTGTTTTAGAAATGAGTTTGCTCAATCGAGATATCTGCAGAAATCCGTTTTGACTGAAGCGTCTGCCTCGGTGCCAACAGCTGCACACTTTCACATTCTGCTGCTCCGTGTTTTGGCAGATGTACACTGTTAGATATCTTGAACTGATTATCTACCCGCAGAGAGTTGCCATGCTACAAGTTTTCAAAACAGAGGTACTTAAAATAAGGGTTTACAACAGTTTAAATGCCCACGACTGCGGTGGAAATGAGTGTGAAAGGAACATAATTGTGGCTAAACGCGCCCAAATGTTCATCCATTTCCCGTCAAGTATTTTCTATCTTTCTAACGCTCCAATGCAAATGTACAGACTCTAATTTCTCGGCCGTGCTTTTAATTAAATAGTTTTCCATGGTAGTTATATTGCATATTTCGTATTTAATCATGCAAATGAAGTGTCAAATTTATGGGAAAGATACAATTACACAGCTAGCTGACTGTGGATATGTGACTCTGCAAAGCAACTCTGTGGTGAAGTAGCCTCTGCACAGCTCATGATGTCCACTGTGACTTCACTGTATTCCCCAAAGAATAAAGCAGATTGCATCAACTTTCACGAGATCAACTGATTTTATTTCACATTTAAAAAAAATACAAAATTCTTCTGAGGAAATATAGAAAACATTGCAAGAAACCTTGGATTTTCTGTGAAAGCATGGACTCCAGTTGGCATGTATTTGGTTGTGACTGAGCTTAGTGAGCTCATTAAACATATATCTGTTGAGTTTTTAATGAGAAACCTGGAAATACTGCAGTAGTTCGAGTGGTTTAATTTCCTTGAAACAACTGCTAAAAGACTGTCTATGCTAATTAATTTTATTCAGGAATTTAAAGTCAAGAGCACTGTCCCAGTTTTCTTTTCTATCACTTAATTAAAAGAAATTATTCCAAAACTGAGGGAAGGGATGGAACAATAGAAACATAAGTGTTTGGCATTATCATGTGGTTTTTGCACTTGCTGAAATCTATACATACATACATATATATGCATATATACACTGTTAGGTATATTGTTAATTCCTCACTCCCGCTAAAAGTGAACTGTGCAGGTTTTCAAAAAGGAATCATTGTAGTTTCAAAAGTAAGTGAACTCCCAGCTGCATTGATCAAATCAAGTGGCTAACTGAACTGGATGGAACATAATTGGGTGCTGAATTAACCTATCAAAGAGGCCAATCTAATAAGAAATCTTTAGAAGAGAATTTGAGCAGCACTGATTAAAGCAAAGAAAAAAACAGGTCCGTTTAGTCTTACCATACTTATGGGTGCAACCATGCCAAAAAGAAAGGAGATCCCAGAGGATGTCGGGAAAAGAGCCGTGAGAGCACATCAGTCTGAGGAAAGCAATAAAATCATCTTTCTAAAGATTTGAGTTCCGTCCGTCCACAGTGAGGTAAATACTTTGAAAATGAAAAGCATTCAACATGACAGCAGCTCAACTTTAACGTCGCACGACTAAACATCCCTGAGAACCACAATAAACAGGTAAGAACCAACCCCAAATGTAACAACTAGAGATTTTCAGACCCCTCTTTTGGCGTTTTGGATGTACGTGCATGCTTTGACAATCAGAAGAAAAAGTTCTGGAGAACCAAGTTGCCTGTCTTGGCCACAGAGCACCTGGACAACTTTTCTGCAAACGCATTCTCTGGATAAATGAGTCCAAATTTGAAGTTTTTAGTTAAAGGTTTGGTGAAAAAGTCCACATTGCATTCCATCAGAGGAACCCTCTCTGAAGCGTGGTGGTGAGACTGTGAGGATCTGGGCCTGTTTTTCTTCCTCGGGACCTGGACGGCTCCGCGCGATCAAGTGAGCCATGAATTCTGAGGTCTATCAAGAAATTCTTGAACGGGACATTATGCCATTAGTTGTGGGGTTGAAGCTGGGCTGAAAATGGGTCATGAAACAAGATAATGGAACAAAGCATTCCAGCAAAACAACCAAGAAATGACTGAGGAAAGGGAGGAATTGTATTCAGAAGTGACCGAGTCAAAGTCTGGACCTGAATCTTATCGAAATGCTGTGGCTGCCAGATGCCCACCCAACCTTTCTCTGCAAAGACGAGTGGGCCACAATCCCCAACGCAGATATGAAAGAGTGATCAGTTTATATAGAAGACATCTGTTTGAAGTAATTGTTGCTAAAAGAGGTGCCATTGCTTGATTGACTGGAGGGACTTGCATATTTTTTGCACACATAAAATAACAGTTTTTGTTAAATAAATAATAAAAATGGATGTTTTTTATTGTGTTTATTATCTTGACTGTTACAAAAAGTGATATTAGTGCACATTTCTTAAGGTTATTTTACTTTTTTAAAATGAAAATAATACCCATATATGTAGGATTCACAAACATTCAAGCTTCAACTGTAAATCTTTCATACATCATGTTCCATCCTGGTATTTTCTGCTTTGTTTAATTTTTTCTCTCTTCCAATTATAATGAAAAAATAAAGGCATTTTATGGTTGCATGAAGAAAAACAAAAAAAACCCTACCTCTTCTAATATCCACTGATGGATCATAATGTACATCTGCCCAGTTAATGGTGAACATTTGTTCTCTGTCTCATTGATAATATCCATTAGATCATTGCAAGTCTTGGCTCACTACACCTTTTTCTTTTCAAAAAAAAAAAAAAAGATGTCTTGCATCACAATATAATTAACTTAACCTTTGGCTCCTTCGCTCCACAGCGGCCTGATCCCTTCACTATTCCTCACCATCCTCTGTGTCTGCTGCCTCTGCCAGAGTCTGTTTCGTCCTTGGCTGTGCCACACAAGTCCAGCTGTCTGTCCGGCTCTTTAGGAGCCACAAAATGACCATCTTGATGTACAAAGCGGGGGATTTGTTTTAATGCCTCTGTCCTGTCTAACCTTCAGCTATTGTACTGGCTCCTAATTCCTCTTGATTGACTGGAATTGTGGAGGAATACTACACAGAAAATGTGAGCTGCAATGTCAAAGGAATAACTATAGAATAGCACTGTAGTCCATTTTAGCTCTGCCCACTTTCTATTTGAATGATGGAGGATTTTCTTCTGCTGCTACTTTACAATAACACACACACACACACACACACACACACACACACACACACACACACACACACACACACACACACAACATTTTGGATTCATTATTCTTGATGTGATTTGTTATCACATTTAAACAACATCTGTGCGTCATGGGCTGAACATGATTATTCTAGAGATCTGTTTAAATCTTACATTTTTCTATGTCTGTAATCATCTTTATTGTTATTAGCTCTAACCAAATTAGAAAAAGCTGATTATCCGTATCTCTATAACAATAAACTGCCCGTGCAGGCAGGTCAGATCGAGTCCATGCAAGGAGGAGGGAGGAACAGAAAGAGCGCGTTTGGAGACGGGAAGCTGCTCGGTGGTTTCGTGTGTGTGTGTGCGCACCTCCCCTCTCCATAGCGCAGCGCGCCTCCTCTCGCTTTACGGAGCCTGTTTGCAATTCCTGCTCTTCGTGCCAGAGCCTGCAGCTGTCTCTCCGTTGCGTCCCACCGCCGCCGTTGTGGGGGGAAATCGTCGCCTCGCATGACGAACCAACGGCGGACTTTGTTCCCCCTTGAGGTGTCCGCGCAAACCCGAAGGATATCGCAACTTTTCAAACAATTTCCAACACTGTTCCGGAGACTGAATGAAGACACCTTCCCCAGCCTGTAACGCCCCGTCCGCGTGTTGACTGAAATCTTTGCAACTGTGAAGGCTATAGGAATGTGGGATACAAGTTTATCTCAGCGGTGAGTAATGCCTGTTATTATTCCCTCTCTCTCTCTCCTTCTGTGTACGCGCAACTGTTTGTTGGACTGCACGTACGCATTCTGCAAAATTGATTCAGACCTTGAATGTCAAGTCTGTGCACGACTAGTTGTCAGATCATTTAAACTGAAACCAGACAACTGTAGCTTGCACAATGTTTCATCTCACATATCCTAATATTTCCTCATCTGTCCATCTTTCTCATGCAGTAAAAGGACCTGCCTCTGCCCCTGACACCATGACCACAGACTTGAACTTGACCTCTCTGCTGAATGTAACAGATCTCCACAACCACACGAGAGGATGTTCCCTCACCAAGACCGGTTTCCAGTTCTATTACCTGCCCACCGTCTACATCATGGTGTTCATAACCGGGCTGGTGGGCAACAGCCTGGCCATTTGGATGTTCGTGTGCCACATGAGACCCTGGAGCAGCATCTCCGTCTACATGTTCAACCTGGCTCTGGCTGACTTCTGCTACGTCCTCTCGCTGCCGTTCCTCATCTTCTACTACTTCAACAAAACGGACTGGATATTCGGGGATGTTCTGTGCCGCCTGCAGCGCTTTATATTCCACGTAAACCTTTATGGGAGTATTCTGTTTCTGACCTGCATCAGTGTCCACAGGTACACCGGCGTGGTGCACCCGCTCAAGTCTCTGGGGCGACTGAAGAAGAAAAACGCC